CAAATGGCTGCAATATAACAAAGAGTGAAAAATTTAAGGGGGTCTGAATACTTTCCGTACCCACTGTATGTATGTATATATATATATATATATATATATATATATATATAGCACCATAGTGCCACTTTTAAACAAAAATTTAGTAGTGCCATTGCATTTTATTATTTTTTGTAATTGAATCCCCTTTGGTCAGTTTGATTGGAGTTTCCAGCCATCTTCAAAGTGACCAGACTTTTAACCTTAATTTTAATAAAACTCTGGTGCCCTGCGGGAAGATAGAATACTGTTATATCTTCTGGATGCTTTCCCTAACGGCTAGTGATGGGCAGTATTGCTGCAGCGCTCCTCAATTGCTTTCGGGAGATGGCACATTGAACCTCTTGGCCAGAAAAGAAAGGGAGAGTGTGTGAATGGGGACAGGGTGGGGGGAGAAAAACAGAGTTTGCATATGTTCCCATTTGGTTACCCAGCCAGCGAGCAAGCGAGCCCTCGGATGAGAGGAACCTCTCTAACAGAAGCAATCTACAGGGAAATTTAATTGTCCTTTGAGGTGAATCTCTGCTTAGCTTTCCAGTCACAAACTCAAAGCAAGAGATGGATAGGGAAACGGGGTGTGGGAGACTCTCATTACACCTGCATACAAAAGACCGCCTGTGTCCCGCCGTCCTTGAGATGCCAGAAACCTACAGCTTCAGAGAAGAAATGAAAATACACAGCAACGTACACAATATGCTCATTAGTGATGTGTCAGTCACGGTGACAGTTCATGTATTGTTGTTCTAGAGGAGCAAAATACAGATATAAAATCGTACTGAATATAAGACATGACAAAATAAATTGGACCTGCCATAAGGATGTTCCATCTTTCCCTCCTCCTGTGAAGGCAGTATCACGATCCTCAATCCTGAAACCTGGGGTTCAGGTTGTGAAGAAACTCCTGCCTAAAGTATTCAAATTTGACATGAAAAGCACAGACCAGTGGCAGATAAAACAGGAGTAAAAATTCCCATGGACTTGTATTAAAGAAGGGACCAGAATATCAGCAAGCAACCAGCCAAACACCATACCAACCACAAAGCAATACATTAAAATCCATTAGTACAGCTTAGCAACCATGTAGCCATGCCATTCTGGAGTTGACTTCTGCAGTAGCAAATACCCACTTTCTCAACTGCCTGGTTATTTAGTCACAAAATGCAACTATATTATCGCACGGCTCTTCATTTAAAGTTGTTAGTATGTCCAATTTAACTTGCATACATACTCACATAACACAATATACACTATATCACAAATCTCAACTGTCTGATTGCATGTATCATCATAAAATGTAAACTATATTATCTTATTATCTGCCAAATATGACTATAAATCATGAAGATATTACGATAATATAAACATTAAAGGAACAGTTTATCCAAAAATGAAAATTTGCTGAAAATGTACTCACCCTCAGGCCTTCCAAGATGTAGAGGAGTTTGTTTCTTCATCAGAACGGATTTGGAGAAATTTATTTTATTTAGAACTGTTTTTTCTTGTAAATCGTACTCGATCTGTGCATATTTGTCTCCTGATTCAAACGAGATTACTTTTTCACATCTTAATGAATTTGTTTCTTACAAACACACAGCTTTTTGCTTTACAAGACGTTAACTGATGGACTGGAGTGGGTTACTTGTGGATTATTGTGATGTTTTTATCAGCTGTTTGGACTCTCATTCTGACGGCACCCATTCACTGCAGAGGATCCACTGGTGAGCAAGTGATTTAGTGTTTAGCCTGAGGGTGAGGAAATGTTACGCAAATTTTTATTTTTGTGTCAACTATTCCTTTAACATAAAGATTTTCTGTAAAGAAGAAAAAAATTTTAAACAAAAAATTTACTTGACTTTCCGTTCAGAACCAACCCCCCCTACTAAAATCTAGTTCTCTTCTGGCATTTGTAAGTTTTCATTGTTCAAACACTTCATTCAGACAGTCTGTTCTTCCAGATTGTGTGGATTCTCAATGCAAGCAGAAACAAACGGAGTGTGTTATCAGCAGAGGTCACAGCTCCAAATCTTCAGTCAGTTTTCTTTTCCTACAATGGAGCATAAAATCGAATGTTATGTTCGTCTTGGTCTCCTAGCTTTTGTTGAAAAAAAACAAAAACAAAAAAAAAACACAGCTTTTAAGTGTCACACCCACATCTCAAAATCCAATCAACAACAGATGAATAGAGTCTAGTCCCACCGCCCTTCATTTTTTCTTTTTCGGTAAGCCATTACACATAAGAAAACATCTGTCGCTGCTTCTATTTCATTGTGACTTTAAACTCATTAGAGACGAATAATGAAGCAGACCACAATTACTCAAGGAATAAACTTCCTCAGTGGTTTAATCTAATCAACATCACGAACAGGTTTAAAATTCAAATCCTCTTCCAAAAATCACCAGAAATGGCAATACCCAGTCTAAGATTTTTAAACACTGAAAGAAACTAAATAAAAATGAGAAAAACAAGGCAACACATGCACACAGTAGAGCGAATGCACACTGTCATGCTGTTTTACATGGTTATCTTCTGGTTTACACTGATGAATAGAATCTGCAGCTACACATCCGATCGATTAGTGGGGGAATAATTCATGTGAGGAAGCAGATTTTAAAGCTCAGGAGAAAAACATGTGGACAAGGGAAAAGCAATGTCATCTAAGTTTCTTTCTCCTCTGAAGATAACGGACACGCAGATACACACCACCAAGCACCAAGACACCCTGTCCTCTAACTCACAGGGGCTATTTTGGAGAAAGCCTTGAAGTGTGAAGAGTTTAAATGTTTCTCAGCAAACTCTCGTGAAAGCTACAGTGCCCCCTGGTGGCGAGGACAATGTACAGTCTGTGCTATGTTCCTTAGTGTGATTGCAATGTGTACACGTGTTTTCATTGTTGACAGTGCTGATGGATGAAGGAAAGCACGTCGTCTTTAGACAGTTTGTCGGGGTTGACCCGCGTCTGGGAGTCGTGAACTCGGACGCCTTCCTCCCAAGCCCAAAACAGCCTGTCTTGATGACATGCACTGAGAAACAGAAGAATAGAGAGAAACAAACAAATAATGTTACGAAATAAGAAAGCATACATGTGATTTATGAATGAGAATTCACTAAATAACACTTAGTTCAAAAGTTTGGGGTCAGTACGATTTTTTAAATTAAGAAATTAACACCTTTAGCAAGGGTGCATTAAAAAGATCAAAAATGACAGTATAGACTTACACTGTTACAAAATACAAAATTTCAATCTTTTGAAAGTTCTATTCATCAAAGAATCCTGGAAAAAAATGTTTAGACAAAAATATAAAGCAGCACAACTGTTTTCAACATTTATAATAAGAAGAAATGTTTCTTAAAGGGTTAGTTCACCCAAAAATGAAAATTTGTCTTTGATCTTTCAAGCTGTTTAATGCCACTCAGTGTTGCATT